TGTATGGTATTTATGATGGTATTCTAGTTTTCCTGGTCTCATTTTATAGAATGGAAGACATAGTATAGAAATTGAGACGATTTTGATTGGGTTTACAATGAAAAGTACCTTGAAATTGAGCTCAAAGTAGCAGAAATCTTCGATTTTTGCCAAAAGTTCAAAAGTAAACAAATCATGCTACGCATCCAATACATGTCAACTGGCGAGTCTAATATTCTTTCACAAGTGTGCTGATATTATTTATACCATTTCTATACTAATGCAGTAGTCTGCATAACAGTAAATCTTCTATTTTTTGTGAGAATAAAAATTCAAAGTGGAAAGCAAAAGAATGTAAGAGGGGCCTGGAGACGTGACTAATGAACAGAGGAAATGTTATTTTAGTGCCAGGAATGTCTTTCTTGTTTATTCTGGACCCTATTTGGAAATTAGCATCTTTTGAAATTAGTGTGAAATTGGCAAAATTGCTAAATTCTGACCACTTGATTGGATAGTTAAAATCGGTAAATGGGTGGTTTCTTGTACTCATTTGATAGAAAAAATGGAGTTCTAGCGAAATAGTTGTTTTTGTCGACTAGTACACTGGAATTGGCCAAAAATAGGGCTCCAAGTGGGCAAAATCGCCGATGCGTAAACATTGTCGAGACCGCTAACTTAGCGAGAGCATAATTCCTTAAGTTTTCCATCAAATTTCATACTTTTGGTGTCATTACGATTGGGAAAAGATTCTCTATCTTTTCATAAGAAACAATAATTTTTTTTTTTTTTTTGAAAATTTGGCGACCCTGAGAACAAGTCTCGGAGAGGGCCTGGCGACTCTGAAAGGGTTAAAACTATGAACGCAGCAAAAATAATAGTATTTCTTACCTTAAATTGTGGGTACTGGTGTTTGTTGATGATTGTGAAGAGAGTGGAGAGTTATGTTGTGGCCCTACTGGGCTGAGGTGGATGGTAGAGGTTCTGGTACTGAAGTCAATGGTTGTACTGGTGTGTGCATAAATTCTGTAATGGATTTCTGGGCTATTTTACCCTGCAGTACATTATACAGCTGACAGTAAGGCATCAGCTGCTCTAGACACCGTTTCAGAGCACTGCATCTAGATTTGTCAGGGTATTCTTTAGTGAAAAAAGTCTAACCTTCAGTCAGTCAAGTAAGTCAGTGAGATGACACCTTGGGTTATTCATTGCACACACTTGTATATTTACCTCATTCATTTTAATTGTATGAACCGATGTTTCATTAAGGCCACAGGCTCTCTCTATATCCACCACATGAACCTCTCTTAAGCTTGTCTAATATCTTGATTTTCTTTGTAACTCCAAGACTTAAATGCTTAAACCTTTTCTTGCCACTTTCAGCAACATTCATATGCCTACTGGGTGCCATGATTGCTTGGCAGATACAAGATATGGCAATTAAGAAATCAAAACACAATTCATAAACACTGCTAGCTCCTAGGAGAGAATCGTACTAGACATGTATGCATGGAAGGCTGGGACAGGGGTGGCAGGGGATGGCGGTAACTCTCCCCCGCTGGCACAACGGTCTGATCTGCAGCCATATCCCACGGGCGACACTCCAAATTTTTTCCCCTCCTGCAGACGAAACTGTGTTAAGTTAATTTTATGAAGTTTTGTATACAATTATGACAATTTTTCAACGATGTAATAACCAAAATGTGGCAAATAAATCCATGTAATATAACAGTCTACTGTAACATAAATAGTTAACCTAGGATAACCAATACAGTCAAACACTGACTTATTTCTACATTTTGAACAGTATTATGCTTTGAAACAGTTGTAATATCATAATTATTACTTGTATATAATGTTATAAGGCTAAAGCAGTAAGGAAATGGAAAAAGACTCTTACTTGATCCAATTTACATTGCATATTGCCATTGCAGAAATGTTGGGTAATGAATATTTCCATGTCTGATATACAGATACACTAAAACACCTTGAATCACATCTAATATTATAAGAAACTTATGTATATGGTGTGAGCATAAAAATAACTGAAACACAATCATAATTTGGTGACAAAGTGTAAAACAAATATCACTGGTGCATTTGCCACTGTTGCTGAGTGATCATTTTTTGCCATGTTCAACACCTCATAAATTTTAAGTTTTTATAACATTCTATTCATTTTAGTCAATTCATAAGAATGCACTCTTTCAATCTAAGAATTTTTTTTCTCATTTTTCAAAATCTTACCCCCCCCCACACGTGTGCACACATTTTAATTTAAGTGTATGCCACAGCCTTTTCCATCCTATGGAGAGGGAGCATGGACACGGGGGTCGTCCCACAGTTACTAAAAACAACAGACATAGCCCCACTCCACAAAGGGGGCAGTAAAGCAACAGCAAAGAACTACAGGCCAATAGCACTAACATCCCATATCATAAAAATCTTTGAAAGGGTCCTAAGAAGCAAGATCACCACCCATCTAGAAACCCATCAGTTACACAATCCAGGGCAACATGGGTTTAGAACAGGTTGCTCCTGTCTGTCTCAACTATTGGATCACTACGACAAGGTCCTAAATGCACTAGAAGACAAAAAGAATGCAGATGTAATATATACAGACTTTGCAAAAGCCTTCGACAAGTGTGACCATGGCGTAATAGCACACAAAATGCGTGCTAAAGGAATAACAGGAAAAGTCGGTCGATGGATCTATAATTTCCTCACTAATAGAACACAGAGAGTAGTTGTCAACAGAGTAAAGTCCGAGGCAGCTACGATGAAAAGCTCTGTTCCACAAGGCACAGTACTCGCTCCCATCTTGTTCCTCATCCTCATATCCGACATAGACAAGGATGTCAGCCACAGCACCGTGTCTTCCTTTGCAGATGACACCCGAATCTGCATGACAGTGTCTTCCATTGCAGACACTGCAAGGCTCCAGGCGGACATCAACCAAATCTTTCAGTGGGCTGCAGAAAACAATATGAAGTTCAACGATGAGAAATTTCAATTACTCAGATATGGTAAACACGAGGAAATTAAATCTTCATCAGAGTACAAAACAAATTCTGGCCACAAAATAGAGCGAAACACCAACGTCAAAGACCTGGGAGTGATCATGTCAGAGGATCTCACCTTCAAGGACCATAACATTGTATCAATCGCATCTGCTAGAAAAATGACAGGATGGATAATGAGAACCTTCAAAACTAGGGAGGCCAAGCCCATGATGACACTCTTCAGGTCACTTGTTCTATCTAGGCTGGAATATTGCTGCACACTAACAGCACCTTTCAAGGCAGGTGAAATTGCTGACCTAGAAAATGTACAGAGAACCTTCACGGCGCGCATAACGGAGATAAAACACCTCAATTACTGGGAGCGCTTGAGGTTCCTAAACCTGTATTCCCTGGAATGCAGGCGGGAGAGATACATGATTATATACACCTGGAAAATCCTAGAGGGACTAGTACCGAACTTGCACACGAAAATCACTCACTACGAAAGCAAAAGACTTGGCAGGCGATGCAACATCCCCCCAATGAAAAGCAGGGGTGTCACTAGCACGTTAAGAGACCATACAATAAGTGTCAGGGGCCCGAGACTGTTCAACTGCCTCCCAGCATACATAAGGGGGATTACCAACAGACCCCTGGCAGTCTTCAAGCTGGCACTGGACAAGCACCTAAAGTCGGTTCCTGACCAGCCGGGCTGTGGCTCGTACGTTGGTTTGCGTGCAGCCAGCAGCAACAGCCTGGTTGATCAGGCTCTGATCCACCAGGCGGCCTGGTCACAGACCGGGCCGTGGGGGCATTGACCCCCGGAACTCTCTCCAGGTAAACTCCAGTTAGGGAGAGTTAAATAGGCAAAATATTAATCATAGGATTTAAAAAACAAAAATTTATGTGATATAGACTAAAGCTCAGATCCATGATTAGTGCATCAAAGTTTGCTTCAAACAACTAATATGGATAAAAAAATTTAATTTTGTTGGCTAGCGTAATTGTAAATAAAACTGTCAATACAATTTTATATAATTGTCTCTTTACAACACAGAGTTTTATTACTTTAAATAATCATAACATTTATTAATCTAATCTTTAGACAGTTTAATTATATTAAACAGAATACCTTACTCCACCTTATTACCTCACATTTGTATTAAGTTTAAGTAAGTTTGTAAAACAGTTAACCACCACTTCTTGTCTAGTTTTAAGTATAGTTACTATGTACTTATTATCTTGTCTAGTTTTAATTAGTTACTATGTATTAGGATTAGTCTGCCCAAAATGCTACGGCATGATAGTGGCTATCTTTGTACTTAGCAAATCAAAGTTGTAATTATACATTGCAACCTTTACAAAGAAATAAACTTTATTTTATTTTATTTTTTTATTTTCAAATAATTATAATCTAACCAACTAAACAATATAAAGTAGTTTAGGTTCTAGCTGTAGTCTGTCTTAAATGCTCTGCATGACCAGGTTTATTTTTCAAAATGTATGAAATAAATGCCCCCTAATTTTATAATAAGTATGTACTGTACATTTTGAAAATAAAGTTTGTTTTTGTTTTGCGTATCTGTTTGTTCTCAGTGTGCTAATTCAGTGGAAATTTGTAATCTTAGACAACAATAAACTAACCTAATTTTAAATATGAAATTGAAATTCACTTTATTTTCCTTAATGTTACTTATTACACATGTCATACTTTAATGTTATTTGGTTAAAGCCTTACATTTCTCACATATTAATTTCTTGAGGCATTCAATTAAGAGGATTTTTTGAAAACATAGAATTCAGTTTCCTGAAAACAGTCATTGAAGAAATATCCAGGAATTTGAGGTTTTACTGAATATTTTTATTTTTATTTTATCTAAGCAATAGTCCATGTTCTTTATATTCATTAATGCACTGCTTACTGTAATTTAACTGTTTACTTGTAGAAGTTCATAAAAAGGAGAAAATGTTATCAATGGATAGGTAGAAAATAATGCAGTATTCCCATGCTAAGCTACTTACTGTGCTGTGCAACCCTTACTAAAGTGCGATTACTAAACGCTGGCATCCCTAGCACTCCGTCCCAGAGGCTAACCCTGGGTCGGAGTCTGCCGAGCCTCCAGACACCAAAGTTTCCCCCGAACTCGTGCTACCAGTAGAGTGACGCCAAGATGTCACTCTAGGGTTAGAGTGTTAAAATCAGAGTACTATGAATTCTCAGTTAAGTTCTAAATTAGAAGGTACACAAGAGGCACTTGATTAAAACAAAATTACAGTTATCAAAATTACTAAAAATTTATAGGTCTGTGAAACTACAGAAGCAACCAAAAAGAATGAATATCTTTCTAATTATAAACCACCTACATTAAAAAAAATATACACACTGTACATTTAATCAAATGACTCTTGTAAATATTTTCTCAATGTGGCCATGTTAGGCTATATGCAACTGTTCAATGATGTTCATCTGTGAAATTAATGGTATATAACTTCTTGTTCTGAAATTTCATGATTTTTGACCAGATAATAAAGCTACTGTTACAAAAATAATTATGAAATACTACTAGACAAATGAAATAAATTTGGAAAACTAAATGTATCTTGAAAGTTAAAAATTAGCCTCAATGTCAACACAGCAAATGTAAGAAAAATTATGTGAAAGTATGCACATTTAAACAGAGCACAGAGTAAGTGGTGTAAGAAAAGGCCAGAAAAACTGCCACAAGACATGTATAAAAACACACCAAAACACACAGGTACATTAATCACATGCACTGGGTGCAGGCTCAGTGATCCTGCAACAATCAAAAGGTAGTTAACACAAGATAATATAAATGAATAATTAATATATGCAATATCTGAAAAAAAAATATTCAGGCAATTAAAAAAAAAAAAAAAACGTAAAAATTACTCCACAATTTTAGGTTTTGTGGTGGAAGTATTGCAATCAATACACTTATATTCACCATTGTCAAGGGCAGTCTCTTCTTACCAATTTAACTCTGCCTATTTTAAGAAAAATATTACCAATAACTCACCAAGCTGAGAAACCATGTCATTATGAAGGATTACCTATTTGTAGCCACAGAAGTACAGTTATGCTTGTTAGGTTTCATTTTCAATATTTACTTTTATCTAAGTTTTTTCAAGTTCCCAGTGGCTGAAATAATTGCTATCTCTTGTAGTCCATTATACTGACCTTTCCCTCTGTTCAGAAAAAAAAAAAAAAAAATTCTAGTGTCCTTTCAGTAGCTCTTTTTCCTTACTTTGTAATTATGATTTTTTATGTTAGTTAATGGGGTTCAGAAATCATGCAGGTCATTTTTTTTTTAATACACCAGACATCTCTCACCAATGCGCTTATCATGTCTCCTTTTTCTTATCTTGTCAGCCCAAGATGGCATATTCAGTTTCTTACAGCCTTTTAATAATTTAATTTTTACATCCAGAAGTCATTTCATTGCTTTTTTTTTATGAATTTTTCTAGGTTTTAACATTTTTTTCGAGGTGGAGGCGCTATACAAATGCTCAAGTGTGAGTGTTTCTAGTTGCTAATCTGTATTAACTGACTCTAGTTACAAGAAATGAGCTATGATCAAGGCAGCAAGTCCTCCATAATCAACTTCTCAATAACAAAATTAAAGTTTCAGTGGTTATAGTATAAACACAGTGCCTTGTTTTACTCCATTCCAGCAATCTACTACTCAGTTTGTTAAGAAATAATTTCTAATGTCTATTCTATAGTGCGAATCCCTGGTAAGGGCCACCTGGCATATCTCATGCCTCAATCACAACAATATTTACCTTTCTGACCTCTTGTAAGGTCAATTGCATACTTCATATTCAGTGAAGGGCCCCTTCACCACTACTTGAATGCTGTTGTATCTGACATCAGTTGGGACTCTTGCCAAAGCTCCAAAACTGCTATCATTCTCACACTATAATGTACTCAGTGCTAAGTGTATTTGCTGTCAGTAAATTTACAATACAGTACTACATTTAGATTTTTAAACTCTATTATGCATTATAATTAAAACAATATCCTGTGTTAATGAACTAATTCAAAGACTATAATGGCTGAAAATTCTTCTGTTGTAGCAAGGTTTTGGTCTAATTAGCACAAATAAGTTTTTCCTTAGGCCAGTGGCGTATGCTCGCATGTGAGGTCACACAAGAGGAGATGCAAGTGCTACAACTACAGGAACATGACATTCTAAATACTGAAAACAGGACACAAGATTAATTCTGCACCTGTAGCAGCAAGTAGGTAATTACCTATCTGGATCACAATTATTGATATGACCCTGCATTCATTATTATTTTTCATCTCTCAAAACACTGAACCAGTATGCAAGCCATTCTACTGGAATTTCTCAACTCTCACTAGTTTTATTTTCTCAGGTCATTGATCCATTTCTTTCAATATTTAATCCTTATCATCAGCTATACTGGCTTCGAAACATGCACCCAGTGACTGGAGATTAATTCTTTTCCACTACAATACACAACACACTGGCACAGAGAGACTAATAGCATCATTTTTATAATTTTAAAATGCTTACTACTGAAAAGATTGTTTTCATGTAAATATACAATGATTTGCCTTCATTTGTAATATATATATAATGAAGAGATGTTGCATAAAAAATGGCAAAAGTACTTGAGTTACACAACTAAAGATAATGTTAAGTCATCAATAAGGGAATTAGTAGTGTGTGACAACTAAAGAAGTAACAGATACAGAACAAAGCACTCACAAGCAATACAACACCACCTGCATGCAGAACATCATATGTGCACCTACCCTACGGCCACCCGTAACCTAGGTGTCGAGGACACTGTGGTGCTGCAGCACACAAGTTAGTAATGAGTTGTTAGTCAAAGTATCATGCTTTACATTTTAATTAAAAATAATAAATGTAAAACGTAAATCAACAAATATTTTTTATCATGAAAACACCTGGAAGTAGAAAATATGTTACATACTATTCTAGTTTGCTAGACATCAATATTTTTTCAAACTACAGCAATGACATTCATTCCTTTATTTACAGGAAAAAGTAATTAATACATAAAAATGCTTAAATAATATTACCCACTCACTCAGTTATCCAGCCATAATAATTACCCTTAGGAACACACACACACACACACACACACACACACACACACACACTATGTATATTATACACATTTATTAGTGCACTTGGGTATTACTGAACACAGCCATTTTTCAGGCAAGTTTCAATAATGACCATGGCATATTAGTCAATTATTATTATTATTATTTTTGTTTATAAATCTTTTCATACAGGGTTGCTTCAAAGTTCATTATGTTTGCTGTTGCCACAATATTTCAGAAAGTGTTATTTTCAATCTGAAGATGCTTCACAACATGATTGTTCATTAATATATCATCACACAAACTGATAAAAGGAGAGAGAGATGACAGAAGTTAATTATTATACAATAAACTGGTTAAATGTGTGGTTAAGTTACAAGATCTGGTAACCATGTGGACACCTCTTGGATATTATAATTTAGTTGACCCTTTGAACTGCAATATTTTTACCCTTCCTTTAGAGATCATGCATTGTATTTCCCATTTCCAAGACTCAAGTCCAACTAGCTAGTTTCTCTGAATCCCTTTATAAAGGTTACCTTGCTGACACTCCAACAGCATGTCAAAGTCATAAAAACACTTGTCTCAGCTCTGACCTCAAAAGCACACACAAGCCTACTTGAAGTTGAAACCAATAGCACTCAATACCTCCTTTACTACTTCCATCCAACTGTAAATTGTTCATGTACTTTTGTTTATTCTTTGCACTGTACAGCTTCAACTGAAATACTGTAACATGCATCTGTTTGGGATCTAAAATCTACTGGTAGGTCAAGGGACACAAAAGAAACTTCTTTTAGCAAACCGGCCATATCCCACCTAGGCAGGGTGGCCCAAAGAAGAAAGACAACTTCTCTTTTGAACTTCAGTAATGTATACAGGAAAAGGGGTTACTAGCCTCTTGCTCCTGGCATGTTAGTTGCCTCTTACAACTCACATGGCTTAAAGAGGAAGAATTCTGTTCTACTTCCCCATGGAGATAAGAGGAAATAAAAAAGAACAAGAATTAGTAAGAAAATAGAAGAAAACCCAGAGGGGTGTGTATATATATATACATGTATATGCTTGTACATGCATGTGCAGTGTGACCTAAGTGTAAGTAGCAGTACCAAGACATCTTGCATTTTATGAGATAAAATAAAGACACCAGCAATCCTACCATCATATAAAACAGTTATAGGCTTCCGTTTTACACTCATTCTGCAGGCCGGTAGTACCTCCCAGGGAGGCTGCTGTCTACCAACCTACTACCAAGTAAAAAGTAACTTACAAGATATATATTACGGCAATATATTGCTCCCCAGGAACTTTATCAAGCTATAAAACTCCAGGTAAGTAAAACCTAATAGTAATAAATGTCTCATTAATTGATTCAGAGAAAACAGTTAACTGGACTCAAGTTCTGGGGTTGGAAAAGTAGTTACTCTACATTGATGGGGGTGAGGATGGTGTTGCCTGGATGGTCATCTGAACTGGGATGTTTGTACACTTTTGGCAAGGCAGCTATTGAATGAATGATGGTGAATGCATTTTCCCTTTTTGGAGTCACCCCACTTTAGTGGAAGATGGCCAGTGAAAAAAAAAAACTTGAATCTAATTGCTGCATTCAGTCACTGACTGTTTTAGGCTATACAATTAACACTATCACCATTAATAATAATGTATGGTGTATCAAAAAGAATACACAGTATTATCTTATCAATGTACTGCAGTACACCTCAGCTTAGTTAACATTTGTTGCACCTTCCCAGAGATTTCTTATTGAAAGATGCTGGGTTGAGGCTATATGACTGCAGCATTGGCAACATAAATAAATCAGACTGCTGTTTTTTTTATTTACAGAGGCATTTTTTAAACTATATCTTTCATTTAATATGAATTTGACTGCTTCTGTTGGTAAAGATAAATCAGAAATTGTATTACCATATTAACCAACCTATACATGGAACACAATACAGTAAAGGCAAGCCTTGTCTACTGAAACCATAATTTACAGTGTATCTAAAGGGGTCTAATTCTCAATGAATGAATGGCTTATCTTTTCTCCGAACACTCCTAGAGCATAATGCATGGTGACGGAAATCTGCAAGCTACCAAAGTCCATCACAGGCTAGTCAAAATGACCAGTGGTAGTTCAGATATCACATAGGTGATGCCCAGGCCACCTGTGGTTGCAGACAACCTTTTGGTAACACTGGCATGTTTTCAGCCCTATCACAGAAGATCATCCAGCAAGGTCCTACTCATGAGACAACTACAGGATCTCTCTCTCAATTACTCAGTTATTCTTGGATATAACTCAACCATCATGACTCGCATTAGAATAGTATACAATGTGCCATCTGCCAAATGGTAGACATCTGCCACAAAATTGATTGAAAAGATGTAATTGATGGACATGCTTGCTTATGATAACTGTTACACCTCAGTTAACAAGTCTACAGTGATTTATATTAAAAAATAAACGAGATTAGGGATGGTGATGAGCATAGTAGTCCAGGTGGTATTATGGTTGTGTCGGTTACCCATAACTAAAATATTATTATGACTGAAACCTACCTTCTTAGATAAGGGGCTTTCAACAAAAATGAATGTCATTAGATGTCCCCACCAATCATGGCAAAACTACAATGCAATATGAAGGTCTTATAGATTGTAAATAGGCATTGATCAATTATGTTTAAAAAATAAGTAAGGGTTACACAATATAAAAATCATAGAATAATCAGCCTTAGGTAATTAGCAGGCTGCACAGAAATGTCATACTAAAGTAAAGCAAATAATGAATAACGTGGGTTAGACAGACAGAAATTATGAGGGAAAATTTCTAAGCTTATTAGACAAAATATTAAAATTTCATGTTCAGATTTAGAAAATAGGAAAAAATATATATTAAAAATTGGTGTATTTTGTAAATTTACTATATAACCACACTATGCTGATCATTCTATATTTCTCACTCAATTCATATCATACATATGGCAGTTGTGCCAGGGGATCTACTTTATCAATCCATCTCAAACTAATCATACTCAACTAAAGATAGATATCAGAACCACTGCAAACTCTAACTAAAGAAAGCATTTAATTCCCTTACTCAAATCTTTAAACCACCTAAATATAAAGGCCATTTCTTTTTACATTTTAAGGACTTTGAACTCAAACCTTGAGAGCTGTAACAGAACACACACACACACACCATACTAGAAACAAACACTCTACTTCTCTGCCATTCCTACTGTTCAACTGAATTTCTATGGAAGCTAGGGAAATAAAAGGACGAAAACTCTGGAATAGCTAACCAGAAGAATCAAAATGCTGTATATAAGATAAATTGTAATGAACAACTGTCAATAAATAAAGAGAAGAATGGATATTAGCAGTTTGGAGGGATATGTTGTGTATCTTTATACGTATATGCTTCTAAACTGTTGTGTTCTGAGCATCTCTGCAAAAACAGTGATTGTGTGTGAGTGAGGTGAAAGTGTTGAATGATGATGAAAGTATTTTTTTGGGGGGGGATTTTCTTTCTTTTTGGGTCACCCTGCCTCGGTGGGAGACGGCCGACTTGTTGAAAAAAAAAAAAAATGGATGGAAGGGGATTTGAGCTATGGTCCTGGCAGCATTGTTTATATAATCTTCCTACTGTAAGTTTTGTAGCTCAGTAGTACAGCATTGGGAATCTAACTATGGTCTTGACAATGGCCAGGGCCATAGTCTGAGTCCAGATTCATTCTTCAGTTCATTCAAAATGCTGCACAATTATAATGGAGTACAAAACTGTCTGTTCTTATAACTTAAGTGCTAAATTAGATAAACATCTGAATATTCAATTGAATACATATTCAATTTACTAGCCATACTGGAGTGGCCGGGCGGCTCAAGCCGCGCGGACACGTTCTGGACAAATGTCCTTAACTGAGTTTTTTATTGTTAGCCGAGCCAATATTTTGATGCAAAAACATATCGGTATCCGATTTTATCGCAATTAGATAAACATTTGAATATTCAATTTACTTGATTACTATTAAGCTTACTGTATTATATTTTACTACAGCATAAATGTTGCCTTCCAAGATTAGCTCTTCAACTTTAACATTACATATCCAGTATTTAGATTCAATATTTTTATGCATATTTTTTTTTAACCTCAGTGGAAATCTCCCTCAACAGCAGGGTGACCCAAAGGAGGAAACACATTCATTATCATTTATTCAACTGCTGTCTTGCCAGAAGTGTGCTGATTACACTCTGACTGCAACATCCCTTCAGGACTCAAGTTTGGCTAAATGTTTTTCCTGAATTTTTTTATAAAAGTTACCTTGCTCACACTCCAACAGCATGCCCATTAAAAAGCAACTTACCCCCATTCACTCCTGTTTAACATACTCACACATGCCTATTGGATGCTCAAGCCCCTAAAACTCAAAGTTTCCTTTTCCCTTTCCCCTTCAACCATTGTTGAGATGACCCCTACCCCTCCTATCTTCCACCCAAAATTTGTACATCCTCCTCATACCATCCCTCTTCATCCTCTCTACATGCACAAATCACCTCAACAACCCCTCCTCAGCCATCTGAATTATGCCCTTGTTAATCCAACACCACCTTCAAATTTCTATGTTAGGAATTCTCTGCATGATATTAACATTACAAATCAGATTCAAACATAACATCTTCCCTGCCTCCACTCTCCTTGTTGTGGTGTTTAAAACCCATGTCTCACACTCATGTAATAATACTGGTACCACTATACTCTGGTACATTCCCTTTTGCCTTTGTAGATAAACTTTATTCTTTCCACAGATACCTCAACACATCACCCACCTTTTTTCTCTTTTTTTTTTTTTCCCCTGACACACCATCAGTCTCTCATCAAAGAAGGGTGACCCCCACCCCCCCAAAAAAAAGAAGAAACATTTTCACCATCACTCTCTTACTGTAATGTTAGCACACCTCTTACCAGAGGTGTTCTAACATTACAGCTCAGATGTCCTTTCAAATTGCCATATCCTGCCCCATTAGAATGCAGGCACCGTACTTCTCACCTCCAGGATTCAAGTCTGGCTAACTGGTTTCCCTGAATCCCTTCATAAATGTTGCTGTGCTCACACTCCAACAGCACATTAAGACATAAAAACCACTTTCCTTCACTTCTAACATGCTCGCACATGCCTGCTGAATGACCAAGCCCCTCATACACAAAACCTTTCCTCACTCCCTCCAACCTTTCCTAGGATATACCCTACCCCTCCCTCCCTCCATTACAAGTTTATACAACCTCCAAGCCATCTTAGTTTACTCCATCCTCTCTAAATGTTCAAACTGCCTCAATAAACCCTTGTCAGTCCTCTGGATAATACTTTTACTAACCTTGTATCTCCTCCTAATCATAAAACTACAAATTACCTGCATAATATTCACACCACACACTTCCCTCAGACATAACATCTCCGATGCTTTTAGCCTTCTCCTCACTGTAATGTTTAAAATCCATGCTTCCACCCATACAGGAGAGTTGATACCACTATTCTCTGGTACTACTGACAAGGTTGTTTCCACAGATGCCTCAATACACCACTCATCCTTTTCTCTTATCAATTTTTATGGCTCACTTCAACTTTCATAGACCCGTCAAGTTCATGCCCAAATATCTGAACACATTCAGTTTCTCCAGATTGCCTCCTTCCAATTCGATATATCTTTTATTATCTAACTTTTCTGTTACTCTCATTACCTTGCTCTTTCCTATGTTCACTTTCAATTTCTTACTGCTACATACCCTCTCAAATTTGTCTAACAACCACTGCAACTTCTCTTCAGAATCTCCCAAAAGCACTGTGTCATTGTCAAAAAGCAACTATAACAACTCCCACTTTGTATTAGATTCATCTTTTAGTCCCACACCTCATCTCCTTTTACAACCCCAACTATAGATATGCTAAACAACCATGGTGACATCACACATCCCAGTCTAAAGTCTAGTTTTTACTTGAAAATAATCTCCCTCTCTCCTACATAACCTAACCCAAGATTCAATATCCTCATAAAAATTCTTAATTGCTTTAAGTAAACCACCACCTATTCCATACACTTGTAACATCTGCCACACTGCTCTCCTAAATGCAACGAAAACTTGGTAAGGGATGGTTGGTGAGTTAAAAAAAAAAAAAAAGAAGTACAGTATACTGTAATGATCACGAGGGTTAAAACTACAGGGCATGCCTATAAGGATCATCAAATTCAGCTTTTCAAAGCATTCATTCATATACATTCATTAACTTATTTTATTTGCCAAGAAATATGAAATTTCCTTTAGAATCTTACTAAGTCTTACCTTGAAGTTCTTGTGGGATGGTTTATTGTTATCATTGGAGCCAATCCTTCAGTAAAGCGAGCATAATTACGTTCCAACTCTCGATGGTACTCACGCATATCAGGGCCAGTCAGTGTCTTGTTTTTGCGTAGTGCATCATAACATCTAAAGTAAAATTGGGATAGTATAATCACATAACTGTTAAAGAGTGAAAGTGATATGATGCTAATTAAAGAGGCAGTGTTGGAATGATAATGAGAATCTTTTGAAAAATCATTCATGATGAGCCTGATGCAGAAATTTCATGTTTAAAGCAAATGATGATAGTAATATACTAGACAGTCATTTAGCACCTTAGTTACGTTCCTGAAAATGCCGTGTTAGGTAAAATCGTGTTAGATGAACTGAAGAACTTATGGGAAAAATAGGGTTACGTTCCTGGGAGCCCCCAAAAAACCAAACATCTCCACATCTTACAAAAATGAAAGTGAATATGTAGTTTTAGTTCATTGTTGTGATAAATTATGTTGTTTTTACTGCTTAAGACTACAAATGTAACAGAAATAACAGTATTTCTTACCTTCAATTGTGGGTGCTGGTGTTTGTGGATGATTGTGAAGAGAGTGGAAAGTTATGTTGTGGCCCTACTGGGCTGAGGTGGATGGTAGAGGTTCTGGTACTGAAGTCGATGGTTGTACTGGAGTGGCTAACTTTAAGTCATTCAGCCAGTCAAGTCATTCAATAAGTCAGTCAAGTTACTCAGTAAGTCAGTCAAGTCATTCAGTAAGTCAGTCAAGTCATTCAGTAAGTCAGTCAAGTCATTCAGTAAGTCAGTCAAGTTAATCAGTAAGTCAGTCAAGTTAATCAGTAAGTCCGTCAAGTTACTCAGTAAGTTAGTCAAGTCATTCAGTAAGTCAGTCAAGTCATTCAGTAAGTCAGTCAAGTCATTCAGTAAGTCAGTCAAGTTAATCAGTAAGTCAGTCAAGTTAATCAGTAAGTCCGTCAAGTTACTCAGTAAGTTAGTCAAGTCATTCAGTAAGTCAGTCAAGTCATTCAGTAAGTCAGTCAAGTCATTCAGTAAGTCAGTCAAATCATTCAGTAAGTCAGTCAAGTCACTCAGTAAGTCAGTCAAGTCTGTCTGTCAGTTCACCTGGAGAGAGTTCCGGGGTTCAACGCCACCCGCGGCCCGGTCTGTGACCAGGACTCATGGCGGATCAGGGCCTGATCAACCAGGCTGTTACTGCTGGCTGCACGCAATCCAATGTACGGACCACAGCCCGGCTGGTCAGGTACCGACTTTAGGGGCTTGTCCAGTGCCTGCTTGAAGACAGCCAGGGGTCTATTGGTAATGCCCCTTATGTATGCTGGGAGGCAGATGAACAGTCTTGGGCCCCTGACACTTATTGTGTTGTCTCTTAATGTGCTAGTGACACCCCTGCTTTTCATTGGGGGGATGTTGCATCGCCTGCCGAGTCTTTTGCTTTCGCAGGGAGTGATTTTTGTGAAGTTTGGTACTAGTCCCTCTAGGATTCTCCAGGTGTATATAATCATGTCTCTCTCCCGCCTGCATTCCAGGGAGTACAGGTTCAGGAACTTCAAATGCCCCCAGTAATTGAGGTGTTTTATCTCAGTTATGCATGTCGTGAAGGTTCTCTGTACACTTTTTAGGTCAGCAATTTCAGCTACCTTGAAATGTGCTGTTAGAGTGCAGCAATATTCCAGCCTAGATAGAACAAGTGACCTGAAGAATGTCATCATGGGCTTGGCATCCCTAGTTTTAAAGGTTCCCATTATCCATCCTGTCATTTTTCTAGCAGATGCGATTGATACAATGTTATGGTGCTTGAAGGTGAGATCCTTTGACATGATCACTTCCCGGTCTTTGACGTTTGTTTTTCGCTCTACTGTGTGGTTGGAATTTCTTTTATACTCTGAAGAAGGTTTAATTTCCTCATGTTTACCATATCTGAGTAATTGTAATTTCTCGTCGTTGAACTTCATATTGTTTTCTGCAGCCCACTGAAAGATTTGGTTGAAGTCCACCTGGAGCCTTGCAGTGTCTGCAATGGAAGACACTGTCATGCAGATTCGGGTGTCATCTGCAAAGGAAGACACGGTGGCTTACATCCCTGTCTATGTCAGATATGAGGATGAGAAACAAGACGATAGCGAGTACTGTGCCTTGGGGAACAGAGCTTTTCACCATAGCCGCCTCAGACTTTACTCTGTTGACTACTACTCTTTGTGCTCTATTTGTCAGGAAATTATAGATCTATCTACCAACTTTTCCTGTTATTCCTTTAGCATGCATTTTGTGCACTATTAGGCCATGGTCACACTTGTTGAAGGCTTTTGCAAAGTCAGTCAGTCAAGTCACTCAATAAGTCAGTCAAGTCATTCAGTAAGTCGGTCAAGTCATCATTCAGTAAGTCACTCAGTAAGTCAGTCAAGTCACTCAGTAAGTCATAGTCATTCAGTCAAGTCATTCAGTAAGTCAGTCACACAAACTCATGTTTACCTCTTTTTCTTTGTACAAAGTAACACTTCATTACGGCTACAGGTTATCTCTTGTCTAATATCTTTGTTTCTTTGTTAATTCTAAGATTTAAGTGCTTATACCTCTTCATGCCACTTTCAGCAACATTGGTATGGCTACTGGGTGTCATGACTGCTTGGCAGATACAAGATATAGTTATTAAAATATCATAACACAATTCAAAGACTGGACTGGACATGTATGAATTACGAACGTTGGAATTGTGGGATGGTGTTGGGGAATGGTAGGGGATTGTGGGAGGGCTCCCCGGTTGCTCCACATCAAGGCGGCTGCTTGAGCAAAAAATAATTTTTTTTCCTTCTCATAAACTGAACCATGTTAAATTAATCATACGACGTGTTACATAAAATTGTGCCTCAATTCTTTGATCGTGCAATACCCAAATCGTGCCAAATAAACTCGTGCTGAATGAGTGTCTACTGTATTAATTTATCAACAAACAGTACATTGCTATAAATTGTTAGAATCATTTAAAGAGCAAAATTTGCTTTTGTAACAATATGCTATGCCTATCTGTGATTGGTTCTGGAGATTATCTTCATACAGCCCGCTCTCAGACCAGGATTGCCTAGGTTGGAAAGAAAATATTATGCAATTAAGAACCATTTAGAAGGAAAGTAAAGGAATGTATATACTGAATATAAGTAGAAGTTTACCTGTCATCTTACATATTTATGACTTAACCTTTATGCTGTCTGTCATGTAGAACTACATCACTGAGGCCAGGGTCCCTGACGTAGTTCTATGTCATAAGCTCAGCTCACTCAGATAAGCTATGAACAGTAAATTTTGATCTAGGTATGAGAGAATGGATCTGTATTGTGTGCACCATATAAGAAAAATCCTGCCCCACCGGGTGCATGATGGGAAAAACAAAATTGTGATCACATCTATGGTTTAAAATATCAGTTTTACAATGTTATCTTGAATGGTTTTTATGGTTTTATTGGCTGTTTCTTGGTATCACTTGATGGAATGGAAGACATATTACTGAAATAGAGATGATTTTTTTACTGATTTCAAGAAAGGAAGTAACTGGAAATTGAACTCAAAGTAGCGGAAATATTTGATTTTTTGCCAATATTCCAGAGGACTGGTAAGGCCCTCCTACAAACCCCAGTCTGTTTTATGGGTTTTTAACAGGTCTGATTCAATTACTGAGACACTGTAAACCATGAACAATCTTTCCTGGTTATATTTTATTATCCAAGTAAGAGTAAATCTTCTGTTTTTGTGAGAATAAGAATTCAAAATAGAAAGCAAGTGTAATCTAGGAGAGGCCTGGGGATGTGACTAATGAACAGAGGAAATGCTTTAGTGCCAGGAATATCTCCGTTATTCATGGACTCTAAATTTAAATTGGTATTTTTTAATTTTGTGTGAAATTGGCCAAATTACTGAATTCTGATCACTTCATAGAGTAAAATATTTGAATGGGCAGTTTTTTGTGCTCAATCAATAGAAAGGAAAGGAAAAGAAAGCATGGCAGCAAAACAGCTAAGAATTTGGTCGACTGGAACAATGGAATTGGCCAAAAATAGGACTCAAAGTAGGCAAAATCATCAGTGCCTATATTATGCAGAGACCTCTAATTTTGTGACTAGATAATTCCTTAAATTTTCCATCAAATTTCGTACTTTTGGTGTTATTACCTTCACAAAAAAAAAAAAATACCATTTGAGATGATTTTTTTTTTTTTTAATTTTTGGACAATGAGAGCAAGTTTCATTTCAGGGGTCTGGACAGTGAAACAGCTCAGAAGCAAAGTTCTCCAACTCTGCCAGAGTGCAAATAAAAATTACCGTAACAGGTTTCAACTTCAGGCTTATTTGACAGGATGGCATACCTCCCTGTATCATACACAGCACTTATAGCTATGGAATACAGAAAAGAGAAGCTTTCGTTTATGTAATGTTTCTGTTGCTTTTATGTTTTTTTTTTAGATTTGTTCTAATGTTGTATAACTGTAAAATGGCTTATTTCTTCAATTAAGAAATTAAATAACAAAATAAAGAATATCTATGGTATTTTGCCATGGTACAACTCTCCCTACAAATCTGTACATCTATTATATCTTGCCACAGTACAACTCTCCCTACAAATCTGCACAAGCTAAATTTGCTGATTTTGAGAACTCTCCTGTTTTAGTGTCTATCATAAACAGTTTTGGAAATTCATGTTTTCAAGTCAAATGGTGTAGCCAAAATAAGGGACACTGACTCTGCTGCCACCATGTCTCTAATGTGTGTCATTTTACCGAGACCATAAAGTCTTGATTCTCCTCAGTAACAACGAATGTCATTATTCGTGAACGTGATTATTCCCTTATTTGCGTAACATTAGTGTTCTACATTACATCATGGTTTGTGAGTCTGATCCTAAGAGGAAGCAGGTCATGATGAAATTAAATAGGAAAATAGTGTTTTTGGATCACTGCCAATAGCACAACAGCCAGCACCTCAGCCACTACAGCCAGTAGCTCAGCCACTACAGCCAGTAGCTCAGCCACTACAGCCAGTAGCTCAGCCACTACAGCCAGTACCTCAGCCACTACAGCCAGCACCTCAGCCACTACAGCCAGCACCTCAGCCACTACAGCCAGTAGCTCAGCCACTACAACCAGTAGCCCAGCCACTACAGTCAGTAGCTCAGTCACTACAGCCAGTAGCACAGCCACTACAGCCAGTACCTAAACCACCAGTCTGTAGCTCAACCACCATAACCAGTACTTCAGCCACTCGGTCACCGTAGCCAGTACTTCAGCCACTCAGCCACCACAAACCTCAGAGGTGAAGGATTCTAAACATTCTATGACTTCCTAGGAAAGACTAGTTCTGCCATCAGCAAACAAATTGTTTTTTTCAAAAAGTACAAAATTGGTACAATACAAGATGTGTTTCAGTCACTGATTATCTCCATATTCCAGAAACCCAGCCCCCTTCTACTTCAATGCATGCAAAAATAATAGTGCAGTCACTGTATTTCTCACCTTAAGAACTTAAGACTGGCTAACAAGTTTTCCAGAATCCTTATACAGTTACTACTTTGCTAAAATGCATGGGATAGAAATAGGTAAAAGACAATACAAAGATTATGTCAATACAGTAAAGGGGAGGTCTATGGAGAGTGCAAAAAGCTTACAGAACTAGGCCAGGTGGTCATGTGGTCTGACCTCAGTATCATATAAATTCTTCCCAGTGACTCTGCTATTTACATTTTCTGTACTGAGGAGACTTCCAGTATAAGAATAAAAATATTCAGTTTTGCTTTTCATTTTTTTTTTTCAACAAGTCGGCCGTCTCCCACCGAGGCAGGGTGACCCAAAAAAGAAAGAAAATCCCAAAAAGAAAATACTTTCATCATCATTTAACACTTTCACCTCACTCACACATAATCACTGCTTTTGCAGAGGTGCTCAGAATACACCAGTTTAGAAGCATATACGTATAAAAATACACAACATATCCCTCCAAACTGCCAATAGCCCAAACCCCTCCTTTAAATTGCAGGCATTGTACTTCCCATTTCCACGATTCAAGTCCGGCTATATAAAAATAACCAGTTTCCCCGAATCCCTTCACTAAATATTACCCTGCTCACACTCCAACAGCTCATCAGGTCCCAAATACTATTCATCTCTATTCACTCCTATCTAACACGCTCACGCACGCTTGCTGGAAGTCCAAGCCCCTTGCCCACAAAACCTCCTTTACCCCCTCCCTCCAACCTTTTCGAAGACGACCCCTCCCCCGCCTTCCTTTCCCTACAGTGTTTTTGTAGTGAATATCAAAAATATAGTATGTGAATAATTCTGAGAAGTTAACTTGATTATGGAATAGATCATAAAGTGCTTTATCTATCTTTACTATCTTTAGTCAGTGTAGCAGGCTTAACCTTGTTAATAATTCTGAAATAAAAGCTGAAGCATGTGAAATTTGAAAAAAACATTCTTACTCACTTTTTAGAGAAATCCTTAAAACAAAGCCTAAGTTTGTTCTGTAAATGACTGGGTGATTTTCTACTCTCCATTAGGTCTGATAGGAAGATATGAGCTACTTCCATTGGACCTTGATTAACTGTTGTTCCAATGCACCCCTGGAATTTTAAGAAATTGAAATGTAATATTTTTTTTAAGAACAAAAAATCATTTTGACACATCTGCTTTTCAAGGCACACTGATTGAGAAGTACTGAATATCAAGAAGCATAAGTAAAGCAAATCCAAAATTTACCCTACAACTCTTATGCATCACTGAGAATGTGAAAGAATATGCATGGAGATAAATTCCTTTTCTAAGTGATTAAATTAAGTAACGAAGTACATGTGGTATTAGAGAAACTTGTATCATTTACCTGAAGCACCATCTGCAGTATCTTGTGGTCTGGAGGGTCCTGGATGATGGCAGCTGATAATTCTTTGGTCTTCTTCTGGATGTCTTCAATTGCTACCTCAATGGGAGTTAACACCCACTGTTCATGAACAAAAATGATGTAGTAGCTACATCAGTACAGTACATAAAGATAAAACAATATTTAGCATTGTAATAAACTTATCTATCTACTCCTTCACAACTGTTTTATCATCTTGTGTGGTACACGAATGGTATATAATACCAACAAGATAAAGAATTACACACATGCAACATCTGGGTATCTTTATTTGTAGACATTTCTCCATACAGTAGGTTTACAATACAAGGACATAATGTGAAGAAAGTAGAACTATATACAAAAGATAAGATAATCAGATTCTTCAAGACTACAGTGCTCATCAACTTCAAGGCTGTACGACTGATTACCTCATCTTTTGTATATAGGTCTACATTCATATTATGTCATTGTACTTTACTGATAAAGCCACTGGGTGATGAAACATCTACAAATATCCAGATGTTGCATATTTGTCTTAATTCATCAATATCTTTTTTTTAATATCTCCTCTATTCACCCCATCAGTCAGCATGGTCATCTTATCCTTTCAGCCTTTCCCAATAACACATTTTATAGCTTTATAATCCATTTCACAGCTGATATTTAAAGATTTTCTATTTGATCCACATTTTTTGAGGTAAGTAGACTATTCCAATTGATGAATTTTGTATAATGTTTCTAATGGCTATTTCCAATATTTTACAACTGTCAGCAAAACTAGTTTATAGTTTAACCCTTTCACAGTCAAGACCCCTGAAATTAAAAGTGCTGACAATGTTGGGATTTAACCTTTTCAGTGGCTGGCATGTAGAATTACATAGTCCTCATAACTACAAACAATTCACAAAGTCCAACTGAAAAATGAGAGAAAGAAGAGAGAGAGAGAGAGAGAGAGAGAGAGAGAGAGAGAGAGAGAGAGAGAGAGAGAGAGAGAGAGAGAGAGAGAGAGAAGAGAGAGAGAGAGAGAGACAGAGAGGAGAGAGAGAGAGAGACAGAGAGAGAGAGAGAGACAGAGAGAGAGAGAGAGAGACAGAGAGAGAGAGAGAGACAGAGAGAGAGAGAGAGCAGAGAGAGAGAGACAGAGAGAGAGACAGAGAGAGAGAGAGAGAAGAGAGAGAGAGAGAGAGAGAGAGAGAGAGAGAGAGAGAGAGAGAGAGAGAGAGAGAAGAGAGAGAGAAGAGACAGAGAAGAGAGACAGAGACAGAGAGAGAGAGACAGGAGAAGAGACAGAGACAGAGACAGAGAGAGAGAGACAGAGACAGAGACAGAGACAGAGAGAGACAGAGACAGAGAGAGAGACAGAGACAGAGAAGAGAGACAGAGACAGAGAGAGACAGAGAGAGAGACAGAGAGACAGAGACAGAAGACAGAGAGAGAGACAGAGAGAGACAGAGACAGAGAGAGAGACAGAGACAGAGAGACAGAGACAGAGAGACAGACAGACAGAGACAGAGAGACAGACAGAGACAGAGACACAGAGACACAGAGACACAGAGACTGAGACTGAGACTGAGACTGAGAGAGAGAGAGAGAGAGAGAGAGAGAGAGAGAGAGAGAGTGTGTGTGTGTGTGTGTGTGTGTGTGTGTGTGTGTGTGTGTGTGTGTGTGTGTGTGTGTGTGTGTGTGTGCGTGTGTACTCACCTAGTTGAGGTTGCGGGGGTCGAGTCCGAGCTCCTGGCCCCGCCTCTTCACTGATCGCTACTAGGTCACTCTCCCTGAGCCGTGAGCTTTGTCGTACCTCTGCTTAAAGCTATGTATGGATCCTGCCTCCACTACATCGCTTCCCAAACTATTCCACTTACTGACTACTCTGTGGCTGAAGAAATACTTCCTAACATCCCTGTGATTCATCTGTGTCTTTAGCTTCCAACTGTGTCCCCTTGTTACTGTGTCCAATCTCTGGAACATCCTGTTTTTGTCCACCTTGTCAATTCCTCTCAGTATTTTGTATGTCGTTATCATGTCCCCCCTATCTCTCCTGTCCTCCAGTGTCGTCAGGTTGATTTCCCTTAACCTCTCCTCGTAGGACATACCTCTTAGCTCTGGGACTAGTCTTGTTGCAAACCTTTGCACTTTCTCTAGTTTCTTTACGTGCTTGGCTAGGTGTGGGTTCCAAACTGGTGCCGCATACTCCAATATGGGCCTAACGTATACGGTGTACAGGGTCCTGAACGATTCCTTATTAAGATGTCGGAATGCTGTTCTGAGGTTTGCTAGGCGCCCATATGCTGCAGCAGTTATTTGGTTGATGTGCGCTTCAGGAGATGTGCCTGGTGTTATACTCACCCAAGATCTTTTTCCTTGAGTGAGGTTTGTAGTCTCTGACCCCCTAGACTGTACTCCGTCTGCGGCCTTCTTTGCCCTTCCCCAATCTTCATGACTTTGCACTTGGTGGGATTGAACTCCAGGAGCCAATTGCTGGACCAGTTCTGCAGCCTGTCCAGATCCCTTTGTAGTTCTGCCTGGTCTTCGATCGAGTGTATTCTTCTCATCAACTTCACGTCATCTGCAAACAGGGACACCTCAGAGTCTATTCCTTCCGTCATGTCGTTCACAAATACCAGAAACAGCACTGGTCCTAGGACTGACCCCTGCGGGACCCCGCTGGTCACAGGTGCCCACTCTGACACCTCGCCACGTACCATGACTCGCTGCTGTCTTCCTGACAAGTATTCCCTGATCCATTGTAGTGCCTTCCCTGTTATCCCTGCTTGGTCCTCCAGTTTTTGCACCAATCTCTTGTGTGGAACTGTGTCAAACGCCTTCTTGCAGTCCAAGAAAATGCAATCCACCCACCCCTCTCTCTCTTGTCTTACTGCTGTCACCATGTCATAGAACTCCAGTAGGTTTGTGACACAGGATTTCCCGTCCCTGAAACCATGCTGGCTGCTGTTGATGAGATCATTCCTTTCTAGGTGTTCCACCACTCTTCTCCTGATAATCTTCTCCATGATTTTGCATACTATACATGTCAGTGACACTGGTCTGTAGTTTAATGCTTCATGTCTGTCTCCTTTTTTAAAGATTGGGACTACATTTGCTGTCTTCCATGCCTCAGGCAATCTCCCTGTTTCGATAGATGTATTGAATATTGTTGTTAGGGGTACACATAGCGCCTCTGCTCCCTCTCTCAATACCCATGGGGAGATGTTATCTGGCCCCATTGCCTTTGAGGTATCTAGCTCACTCAGAAGCCTCTTCACTTCTTCCTCGGTTGTGTGCACTGTGTCCAGCACTTGGTGGTGTGCCCCACCTCTCCGTCTTTCTGGAGTCCCTTCTGTCTCCTCTGTGAACACTTCTTTGAATCTCTTGTTGAGTTCTTCACATACTTCCCGGTCATTTCCTGTTGTCTCTCCTCCTTCCTTCCTTAGCCTGATTACCTGGTCCTTGACTGTTGTTTTCCTCCTGATGTGGCTGTACAACAGTTTCGGGTCAGATTTGGCTTTCGCTGCTATGTCATTTTCATATTGTCTTTGGGCCTCCCTTCTTATCTGTGCATATTCATTTCTGGCTCTACGACTGTTCTCCTTATTCTCCTGGGTCCTTTGCCTTCTATATTTCTTCCATTCCCTAGCACACTTGGTTTTTGCCTCCCTGCACCTTTGGGTAAACCATGGGCTCATCCTGGCTTTTTCATTACTCCTGTTACCCTTGGTACAAACCTCTCCTCAGCCTCCTTGCATTTTATTGCTACATATTCCATCATCTCATTAACTGGTTTCCCTGCCAGTTCTCTGTCCCACTGAACCCCATTCAGGTAGTTCCTCATTCCTGTGTAGTCCCCTTTCTTGTAGTTTGGCTTCATTCGTCCTGGCCTTCCTGCTTCTCCCTCCACTTGTAGCTCTACTGTGTATTCGAAGCTTACAACCACATGGTCACTGGCCCCAAGGGGTCTTTCATATGTGATGTCCTCGATATCTGCACTACTGAAGGTGAATACTAAGTCCAGCCTTGCTGGTTCATCCTCTCCTCTCTCTCTTGTAGTGTCCCTTACGTGTTGGTACATGAAGTTCTCCAGTACCACCTCCATCATCTTAGCCCTCCAAGTATCTTGGCCCCCATGTGGGTCCAAGTTCTCCCAATCTATCTCCTTGTGGTTAAAGTCACCCATGATCAGGAGCTTTGCCCTGCATGCATGAGCTCTTCTGGCCACTCTAGCCAGTGTGTCAACCATCGCTCTATTGCTCTCGTCGTACTCTTGCCTTGGCCTCCTGCTGTTCTGTGGTGGGTTATACATCACTGCTATTACCACCTTGGGACCTCCAGAGTGAAGTGTTCCCACTATGTAATCACTTTCTTCTCCGCTATCTTCTCTCTCCAGCTCATCAAAATTCCAGCGATTTTTGATCAGCAACGCCACTCCTCCACCCCCCCTGTTCCCTCTGTCTTTCCTCAGGATTTGGTATCCCGTTGGAAAGATGGCATCTGTTATCATACCTGTAAGCTTGGTTTCTGTGAGAGCTATGATGTCCGGTGATGCTTCTTTGACTCTTTCTTGCCACTCCTCCCACTTATTTGTTATTCCATCAGCGTTGTGTGTGTGTGTGTGTGTGTGTGTGTGTGTGTGTGTGTGTGTGTGTGTGTGTGTGTGTGAGACTGTGTGTGACTGTGTGTGACTGTGTGTGACTGTGTGTGACTGTGTGTGACTGTGTGTGACTGTGTGTGACTGTGTGTGACTGTGTGTGACTGTGTGTGACTGTGTGACTGTGACTGTGTGACAGAGAGAGACAGAGACAGAGAGACAGAGACAGAGAGACAGGGACAGAGGCAGAGAGAGACAAAGAGAGACAGAGACAGAGAGAGACAGACAGAGAGACAGACAGAGACAGACAGACAGAGAGACAGACAGAAATGTGCATGTGATTTTTAACACCCTGGCCTTCTCCTACCAAGGTAGGGTGAGCAAAAAAAGAAAAATTTTCACCATCCTTCACTCCTTCACCATCCTGGCAGTGGCAAACACTTTCACGCACACTTACCGACATTCTGTCAACAACTTGGATTCTTGTCTTAACGTAAGGAAACATATGTTGTGTAGTTAGAATAGTCTTGCGTTTGTATTGCTCATGGAGTTCTCCATGAGCTCGTCCATCAGGCGTGAAGGGTGTTGAAAATATAAACCGCTCTGTAAATATAAGAAATCTATAGATATTCTTGCACTAGTTTTGAATCCTACATACAAGCATGTTTTCTGATTCAACTTAATGTTAAAGGTACTGAACCTTTCAGTTTTGGTACAATTATTTGTAAGACATTTTGAAATTATGAGAGTTCCAGAACAAGACAACAAATGCCTAACACTTTGCCATTTCTGAATCTCTTCAACTTGAAACTGAAGGTTGTTTTATGCTCTGAAGTTTCATCTGTAAATCTCAGCAGGTTTGACCTACAGATCAAGATTTATGACCTAGGTCATAAATCCTGATCTGTAGGTATGCATTTCTTTGGATCACAACATGGGTAAAAATCATCACATACAGAAGAAACCCTTGAGTTACACAATCATAGCTTGTGTTTTCAATATTATACAATTTAAATTTAGTTTCTCATTTCCAATAGAGGTGCACTCATTTCCATTAAGGCATGCAGAAAAGGAATTTATTTTCATTGGTGGGTCACCTGCCTGCCTGATGCAGGCAGGTGACCCATCACTACACATTGGACAGCTCAACACAATCAGCAGTGCAGGGACTGGTCTGAGGGATAGTGTGAGGGTGGGTGAGCTGATGTAAACATTTTCACACACAGGTCTGTGTATATCACTGCAGTTTTTCCTTCTTTTCATCACTCCATCTCATCTTTGGATATTTATCGTGGTATCAAAGACGTATAGGTGGTTAAGTAAGGAAGAAAATTAAGCATGGAACTATGGTTATTTCGAGAAAATTATAAGTAACTGAGATGCTAAAGGGTGGTGCATGCATCATGGAGATGGCACAAATGTTTGGTATTAGAAAATCAAAGATTCATGCAAGTCAATTCTTCTTTGGGTCACCTGCCTTGGCAGGAGATGGCCATTGTGAAAAATAACTTTTTTTTTTTTTTCAACAAGTCGGCCATCTCCCACCGAGGCAGGGTGACCCAAAAAAGAAAGAAAATCCCCAAAAAGAAAATACTTTCATCATCATTCAACACTTTCACCTCACTCACACATTATCACTGTTTTTGCAGAGGTGCTCAGAATACAACAGTTTAGAAGCATATACGTATAAAGATACACAACATATCCCTCCAAACTGCCAATATCCCAAACCCCTCCTTTAAAGTGCAGGCACTGTACTTCCCATTTCCAGGACTCAAGTCCGACACCCAGCGGGGTAGCCCAGTGGTGAGAGGCGTGACTCTCACCACTGGGGGCCTGGGTTCGAATCCCAGATGAACTACTAGAAAAAAATATAGAAACTGTAATCCAGTGGTGAGAGGCGCGACTCTCACCACTGGCGTTCGGGGTACGAAAACCAGACGAACTACCTGAAAAAAAAGTGTAGTGCAGTAGTAAGTGCCAGGATTCTCACCACCGGTTCTCGGTGTAGAGACACGCACAAAACTGCTGAAAAAAATATCGAAACTGTAGGCCAGTGATGAGAGGCGCGACTCTCACCACTGGTGTCCTTGGGAACGAGATGTAGACGAACTAGTTAAAAAAAAAAAAAAAAAAAAAAACTGCAGTGCATTAGTAAGTGCCAGGATTCTCACCACCGGTTCCCGGTGTAGAGACACGCACAAACTAATGAAAAAAAAATATCGAAACTGTAGGCCAGTGATGAGAGGCGCGACTCTCACCACTGGTGTCCTTGGGAACGAGATGTAGACGAACTAGTTAAAAAAAAAAAAAAACTGCAGTGCAGTAGTAAGTGCCAGGATTCTCACCACCGGTTCCCGGTGTAGAGACACACACAAACTAATGAAAAAAATATCGAAAATGTAGGCCTTTGAGAGGCGCGACTCTCACCACTGGTGTCCTGGGAATGAGACCCAGACGAATTACTTTAGCTTTTTAAAAAGAGAGGTCATACTGCAGCTTTATACATCATTAGTAAGGCCTCACCTAGATTATGCAGCTCAGTTCTGGTCTCCATATTACAGAATGGACATAAATTCGTTAGAAAACATTCAGCTTAGGATGACTAAATTAATACATAGCATTAGAAATCTTCCTTATGAGGAAAGATTGAAGACTCTTAAGTTACATTCACTTGTTAGACGAAGAATGAGGGGAGACCTGATCGAAGTGTATAAGTGGAAGATAGGTATTAATAAAGGGGATATTAATAAGGTCTTGAGGATGTCTCTCCAAGAGAGAACCCGCAGTAATGGATTTAAATTAGATAAGTTTAGATTTAGAAAGGACATAGGAAAGTATTGGTTTGGAAATAGGGTAGCAGATGAGTGGAACAGTCTACCTAGTTGGGTTATTGAGGCTGGGACTTTGGGTAGTTTCAAATTTAGGTTGGATAAGTACATGAGTGGGAGGGGTTGGATTTGAGTGGGACTTTCACATCAGAGCTTATTTCTTGGGTGGCATTGAAAATTGGGTTGGGCAAATGTTTTGTTAGTGGGATGAATTGTAAAGGACCTGCCTAGTATGGGCCAACAGGCCTCCTGCAGTGTTCCTCCTTTCTTATGTTCTTATGACTATATGAAAATAACCGGTTTCCCTGAATCCCTTCACTAAATATTACCCTGCTCACACTCCAACACATCGTCAGGTCCCAAGTACCATTCGTCTCCATTCACTCCTATCTAACACGCTCACGCACGCTTGCTGGAAGTCCAAGCCCCTTGCCCACAAAACCTCCTTTACCCCCTCTCTCCAACCCTTTCGAGGACGACCCCTACCCCGCCTTCCTTCCCCTATAGATTTATATGCTTTCCATGTCATTCTACTTTGATCCATTCTCTCTAAATGACCAAACCACCTCAACAAACCCTCTTCTGTCCTCTGACTAATACTTTTATTAACTCCACACCTTTTCCTAATTTCCACACTCCCAATTTTCTGCATAATATTTACACCACACATTGCCCTTAAACAGGACATCTCCACTGCCTCCAACCATCTCCTCGCTGCTGCATTTACCACCCAAGCTTCACACCCATATAAGAGTGTTGGTACTACTATACTTTCATACATTCCCTTCTTTGCCTCCATAGATAACGTTTTTTGACTCCACATATACCTCAACGCATCACTCACCTTTTTTCCCTCATCAATTCTATGATTAACCTCATCCTTCATAAATCCATCCGCCGACACGTCAACTCCCAAGTATCTGAAAACATTCACTTCTTCCATACTCCTCCTCCCCAATTTGATATCCAATTTTTCTTTATCTAAATCATTTGACACCCTCATCACCTTACTCTTTTCTATGTTCACTTTCAACTTTCTACCTTTACACACATTCCCAAACTCATCCACTAACCTTTGCAATTTTTCTTTAGAATCTCCCATAAGCACAGTATCATCAGCAAAAAGTAACTGTGTCAATCCCCATTTTGAATTTGATTTCCCAAAATTTAATTCCACCCCTCTCCCGAACACCCTAGCATTTACTTCCTTTACAACCCCATCTATAAATATATTAAACAACCATGGTGACATTACACATCCCTGTCTAAGACCTACTTTTACCGGGAAGTAGTCTCCCTCTCTTCTACACACCCTAACCTGAGCCTCACTATCCTCATAAAAACTCTTTACAGCATTTAATAACTTACCACCTATTCCATATACTTGCAACATCTGCCACATTGCTCCCCTATCCACTCTATCATATGCCTTTTCTAAATCCATAAATGCAATAAAAACTTCCCTACCTTTATCTAAATACTGTTCACATATATGCTTCAATGTGAACACTTTTTCTACACATCCTCTACCCACTCTGAAACCTCCTTGCTCATCAGCAATCCTACATTCTGTCTTACCTCTAATTCTTTCAATTATAACCCTACGGTACACTTTTCCTGGTATACTCAGTAAGCTTATTCCTCTATAATTTTTAGTCTCTTTTGTCCCGTTTCCCTGTATATAAAGGGACTATACAAGCTCTTTGCCAATCCCTAGGTACCTTCCCCTCTTTCATACATTTATTAAACAAAAGTACCAACCACTCCGACACTATATCCCCCCCTGCTTTTAACATTTCTGTCATGATCCCATCAGTTCCAGCTGCTTTACCCCCTTTCATTCTACGTAATGCCTCACGTACCTCCCCCACATTCTGCTCTTCTTCACTCCTAAAAGATGGTATACCTCCCTGACCAGTGCATGAAATTACTGCCTCTCTTTCTTCCTTAACATTTAAAAGTTCCTCAAAATATTCTCGCCATCTACCTAATACCTCCATCTCCCCATCTACTAACTCCCCTACTCTGTTTTTAACTGACAAATCCATATTTTCCCTAGGCTTTCTTAACTTGTTTAACTCACTCCAAAATTTTTTCTTATTTTCATTAAAATTTCTTGACAGTGCCTCTCCCACTCTATCATCTGCTCTCCTTTTGCACTCTCTCACCACTCTCTTTACCTTTCTTTTACTCTCCATATACTCTGCTCTTCTTATAACACTTCTGCTTTGTAAAAACCTCTCATAAGCTACCTTTTTCTCTTTTATCACACCCTTTACTTCATCATTCCACAATCACTCCTCTTTCCTCCTGCCCCCACCCTCCTATAACCACAAACTTCTACCCCACATTCTAATACTGCATTTTTAAAAACTATTCCAACCCTCTTCAAACCCCCCCACTACTCATCTTTGCACTAGCCCACCTTTCTGCCAATAGTCGCTTATATCTCACCCGAACTTCCTCCTTCCTTAGTTTATACGCTTTCACCTCCCTCTTACTTCTTGTTGCCACCTTCCTCTTTTCCCATCTACCTCTTACTCTAACTGTAGCTACAACTAAATAATGATCCGATATATCAGTTGCCCCTCTATAAACATGTACATCCTGGAGCCTACCCATCAACCTTTTATCCACCAATACATAATCTAATAAACTACTTTCATTACGTGCTACATCATACCTTGTATATTTATTTATCCTCTTTTTCATAAAATATGTATTACTTATTACCAAATCTCTTTCTATACATAGCTCAATTAAAGGCTCCCC